ACTGGTGCATGGCTTGAAGCGTCACCAGACCAGTTGTAGCAGGTTCAGCACGGCATCACTGATGGCAAAAGGGCGCCCTGACCACGCCCAATCCCCGCCCTGTCACACGCCCTATCGTTTGCTGCCATCATGACTGTAGAATGCGTGACACACCCCAGAAAGGGGTTTGTTGACGACGAGATCTTTTCCTTTCCTTCAGGTACAAATGCAGATGGAGGGTCTTCGCAGACTCCAACAACTCCCTTTACGATACAGTGGAGCATGGCATTGCTTTGTTTCACTTTACAGAACTCAAGGTCGGAAATATCACTATCACATTCTCTTTACTGCTCGATATTCCATGAAATCAGTGCAGTCACAGCGGGTTCCGTTCAGAAAAGTTGTTCAGGTTTCTTTGGCCTGTGGTTAGGCTGGATTCCAAACTGCCAACGTGCTGCCCTCTTGAATATGGCCGATATTGCAACTTATGATTTCGTTAAACATAAACTCCTAGGAGATTTTGCGCTACGGGTATGTGAGTTTTTCTGGGTTGAGGTGCTCGTTTTTATTTTTGCTTTATGAAGGACAACTGGGTAACCCATGCTCTGGCAAGTGCATGCGCAGGACTATCCGCTGCTGTTGTTTCACTTCCTTCGGATGTGGTGAAAACAAGAATGATGGACCAAATAAGGCATGAACTGGATAGGAAGATGTACGTTTGTGCTAAAAAAATAAGTTCGGCAGCAAATTTATTACAATAGCTGAATTGCAGGGCTCATGTGCAGAGCAAGCATGTACAGCTTTACAATGGATGCATAGACTGTTTCGTGAAAATAGTACGGCAAGAAGGATTTTTCTCGTTATACAAAGGATTTTTGCCTAGTTACATACGGATGGCACCTTGGTCGCTCACGTTTTGGGTATCCTACGAGGAAATCCGCAAATTCGTTGGAGCTCCTAGTTTTTAGGCTCTTTAGTTTTTAACTACAGTTTCATTTCTTATTTTGTTATTGTTCGAATAGATCTTGTTAGCTAACGTTGTAATTATTATTGTTCTCGCCAATAGTGTGCTGATTCAACTGAATCGCTCAAGTTAGTATTCTAATGTTTGTTGACAGTAAAATCAATGCTAAGGCGGAACATCTCCCTTCGCACGCACTCCAGTTTTCGCTTGCGATGTTTCGTTCAGGTCACATTCATACTTCGCAATGCTACTGCGCCATCTAAGCGACAGTATAGAGAAGTATAAACGCGCTGTCGCAGATAGCGAACAGATAGCTGGCAGCGTTCATTTTGCGTCAGTGTTTTGGCGTTATGCCAGCCCGTTTGAGCGAATTAGGAATGTCATTAGGTATTAAGCTAGCGTACAGCAACGTTTTGAGCGAGTAGGAAAGTATAGATATCAATCTAGCTTTCTGAGCGTCTCGGGGATAATTTTAGTTTTCGCGGCGGTTTGCTTGAAACGAGTCGACCACAAAAACGCGTTGTCATGGATACCTTTACTTTCGTTAGTGTGTCCAAAGGCGCGTGATAAGCTTGCGTAATCCTATATCTTGTTAGTGGTCAAAGCGACTTGTAGCCACTAGCAGTATGAGACGCTCGCTGACGCTCGACGCCTCAGACGTTGACCAAAAGTACCGCAGCTATGCTCTGTGTTTCCTGTTCTTTTTCGATCCTCTTTTTGTTCCGACTTCTCTAGAGATGCGGGGGAAAGCGATAAGGTGGGTTAATCATATCGGAAATCGCCATCACGTTTCGCTTCGTATCCTTCTAACAGCGCTATCGCAATTGATCATGGCTGAGTTTACATTATTTGCTATGCATCCATTATTCTTCCTTTCCCATTCCTTCGCTTAATCGATGGAAAATTGTATTCTGTGAAAATTAGAAAAACCTGGTGTGTGATTGTTTATCTGTAATGACACGAAGGGATTTTGGCTTTAAGGAAGCTCACTAATGTTCGACTGAGGCTGCATTTTATGCAGCACCATAGTAAATGCTACTAATGTTTTTCAAAGAGCTCAAACTATTCCTCGTGGGAATAGAAGGAAGTAAACTATTTTCGGTGTGGGCTGAGCCTCCATCAATGCGAAAAGGTTTTGGGGCTGATGTTTGACTTCGCATTCCTTCATTTTTTCAGCTCCATTTACATCTAGTCATTCTTTGAAGTGATTTTTTTGAGAGTCTCAAATATGTGCAATTTCAGTTCTTAGGTGACTGTTTTTTAATGTTTGTGAGGTGTGGCATTGTATCAGTGTGATACTCAGAAGTAGAAATTTCGGGACTTCGAAGGTGATCCGATTCTGTCTCAGTTTTAGGGTAGCTAGGTATAATAATATGATTGCAGAGATTACTCAGGATTACTTACTTGTATTTTGAAATATGTTGGCATTTTTAGGTTGTATATTTGATGTTGTAGCCAAAATTATCACAGTTTTATTCGTTGATATCCAGTAAAGAGATGATACTTTGTTTGAGTTGTACGGTACCTGTGTATGACTCCAGATGTTTCATATCTATAGTAATCTCCCGGATCATTTAACGGTATTTGAGTTAACGAGAAAATCTTGTTTGTTGAAAGGTTCAGCACTATTCCAGGCTCAAAAAACTCAAAAAAAATATTTTTTCTGTCGGGTCCGCAGGTTATTCACTGCTCTGATTTACATTATGTATCACTTTAGTTTTGAGTCTGCCCACCTTTGGGTCTCACCAGCCTGTCACATATCGATGCGAAACTTATGTGCGGAGGTTATTTGACATGCTGATCGCGAAAATGACATTAATCCTTGTTGCGTTGTGCTCAGTGTCGTGAACTATAAACGTATAAGCCTAATGGCGATCTTATTTCAAACTGGCTTCCTCACCTCCTTCAATTTTCTGACGAGCAAATATAAGAGAAACCAGTTCAAATTAATTATATATCTGTATCGTCAAAGTTCATGAATTTCAGAAGGTTTCCGAAGTCCTGTATAGAATTCTTTCCCTCGGATGGGGTGCTTTGGCTTTGTCGACCCTGCTACTGGGTTTAGACCGCTGTTCAGATTTCGCGATCGCCGCTCTAACCCGATGGCGCCTACTCTCGCCTATGCGCTGGCGCCGCGTCCGCCAAACGGCACGACATACGATCTGCGCTGCTCGCCAGTTTGGCATTTGCATGTTGCGGATATGACCTTGGCGCTGGAGCGACCCTGTCGTGTTCTCGACTGGATCGCGCGGTCGCAAAGTCTGATCGCGGTTTCTCGGAGAATCCAGAGTGAACCGTATCGCGTACATTCTTCTTTCGGTGATTGTCTCGAATTCGCACATTTTCTGGAATTCGTGCATTCTCCACATTCGTGCTGTATGAATTCAATCTAGTCAGTCCATCATGAGGCTGGCCCTTAAAAAAATGGCTAATGCTAACCTGCTTTGTTGTCCGCCTTCAGGTCGAGAGTTGGTAGTATCAGTTCCAATGAATGTTAGTTTTACTCTGTAAAGTTGGCATGTACGTCTCTTACGGTCGATTCTACAAATTGTCATGGCCAGAGGCGTTTTCTCATTCCCCATTCTGGATGAAAATTCTGAACTTTTCTAAAAGCCACATTTTCCTTTCCATTCAACTCGCTATTTCGACAGCTTCTTCAGCTTTCAACTTGGTATTTCTTTCAGAATAAGTCAACTGGGTAACACATGATGTTGCTCTGTTGTCGTTCTTGTCATATTGGTGGAGTTCGTTTTGCATCAACTTCCAAGTTCTATGACGCTGTCATAGTGGGTGGTGGAATGGTGGGCAACGCAATGGCTTGCGCACTGGGGTTGTTATACTTTGTCTTTTATTCACTTTACGCAAACTTTGGTGCAAGATGTAATAGAATTTATTGTCACGAAACGGTCTCTTATGGTCTCTTTCGCTGCGGATGATGGGGAAACAGTGATGCTGGAAAAAGATCATTAACGAACTTATGACCCAGTTTTGTTCGTTCGCGCTTGGATAAGTAGGGACACGGCGTTTAAGGCTGCGCCAACCCAGTCTACTGACACACCCCATTATCCGCTGGCGAAGTGGCTATTTACGTCGTTAGCTGCTTCATGTAGTTGCCTAGTCGTCTTAAATTGAGCTACATTTGAGCGACAATTCCCTCAGGCAAACATTGATCTTCCTCACTTACTCATTTGTAAACAATATGTCTGCTTATCCAGGGTGCTGAGGTTATAGGGCAATAGTACGCGACCACATGGACTCGAACCCTTCTTCATTGCCGATGTGTTATCCATTACCTACCAGGGCCGCTCTTACCCTCTCAGCTCGATGGGCGTTATGTGCCGCTGCCTTTCAGCGCTCAATCGTCTAGCGTGATGAGTCACTTAGCCGATATCGGCAGTGAACCACGAGGTAAGGTTGTTTTCGTTTGAAGTTGTGTTCGCGCCTCACTGCCATATCGGCTTAAGCGACTCACGCGTTAAAGTGGAGAGCATGGCCACGAAAAATCATAGCTAACATGAGAGCGGTATAGAGCGGCCCCTGTAGCGTAATGATAACGCACCGCCCGATAAGCGGGAGGATGCGGGCAATTCCTGTGATAACTTTCGGAACGCGCACTGCATCGTTGAACAGCTGTTATTGAACTAGAAAACTTGGAGAGATATGTCTGCTTGTTTTATGAGAACTTCCCTTATTTTATGCGACTATGATTCAGGCCGTAAACTCGTCTTCAGATCTACAAAAGCAATTAATTCATCACGTCTCAACAATATTAAGAGCTCATACATACACTAAAGTAAGGAAAACTAGAGATTATTAACAACTAAGCAATGTGGATTTTGAATAAAAGGACGCGGGTTGTTTTCGAGAACCCCACAAATTGCTCAAATATTGCAGACAGAGGCTGCAAGGCACCTTGTCATGGACTCACTTCTCTATTTGTCATCTTAAGAAATCGGTTTAGCCTATGTGGTGAACTGTTAGCTAAGAGGGCATGGTTGACAATTTTGCGAGGTGTGCGCGTTGATGCGCTTCAGTTTCGCTATAACTGGCAACGGTGTGTGTTAGAGGCCCGGGAAAAGCTACTGGACGTGTGCCAGACACCCCTTGTGTTGTTGCATTCCTGGACTATAGCTTTAGGAACACTTTCTGCAAAGGCGTCGCCTTAGAGCGTTTGATGCGCGTATCCGCGAAAGTCTAAACACCTGCCTAATGAGTGATGATGTTTGACCCGACCTCTGGCATCTTCAGGTTCCTTCGGATGCTTTTCAGTTGTATTTTTAGGAATATGGCTGCCTTTCCGCAATTTTCGATTGATTTTTTTAATTCTTCCATTTCACTTGGCCACAAGTACTAAGCTCTGACTAGGGAGGCGATTGTGGGCCAGACAAACGTCAAATGAAGAGGCTCATGCGAAACCATATCAAGCGCTAAAGAATCGAATCAAAACCGTAGGGAAGGCATTTTGATCAAAACAGCGGCTCCACAGTTTTGTGAAAAGTGTATTGTTTACTTCAAGTCATAGATCTCAACTAATTATGGCATGGTACTATGGAAATGGAAGGTGTTTTCGCGTCATCACCACTCGTGGAGGGGCACGGAGCAACGCGTCTCTGTCCCTTCCTCTCTGAAGTCTAGATTTGCGGTTATCAGAGCGCAAATACGAGCAGAGACCTGAGATGTAGTCACGCTCACTGGACCTAGTATCACGGCCCCGTGGGTGTTCGAGAACACCCGGTTCCGGTACTACCCCTCTGTGAACCCACCTATCACCTCGACGAGTTTATCCAACTCCGTCACTAATGTTGCAAAACTGTTACCATTCTTTCAGGCGATAGGTAGGTTGACAGAGGGAATAGCAGTGGAAGAATTTCCGGGGGGGTGGGGGAGAGTCGCTCTGACATATCCACGCGGCAGTGTCACTGGGTGGAGAGACTTCGCGAGACTATACCGCAGGGCTCTGATCTTGCTTGCGCTCTTGTCAGTTCTTTACCCAGAAAATTGGCG